TGCAGCACAAATGAAGACTGACATCGTCAACAAAACTATATTGTTACACATCTTAAAAGATATAAGCCATCATATGGGGTTTGGGCACCAGTGTGGTGGAGCATCTGAGACAACCACTCACAGAAATGAAATGTAATGGTTGATATATAGGATTTTAAATATATTTTCTTCAGCACTTCAACAAAGTAAAAAAAGGTAAAGATACCTAGGCGTATCGGGCATATGAGAAGAGCGTCCCATGTTTTTACTGACCAATCGGCACTGGGTGAGTAATGTGGTCAGGATTACGCCGGATTTCAACAAAACTGGTGTGAAATTAGAAACATCAGTTTGGTAGCACACTATTAAATTACTACTAAGTCCTCATTATAACAAGCAGCTGGGGCATTTCGTTTCACAGAAAAGCTTTTTTATTATTTGGCTTGAAGTCAGTGGTCTTCAGGATGTCTTTTTCCTGCAGTTGAATGAAAACCTGTTCAAATAACGCGGCCCCATTTTGTTACGAAGCATTAAAATAAAAAATAAAAAATTAAAAAAAAAACGTTTTAGCTTAAATTGAAAGTTTTCCTGTACATTTCGTTACCATCATTCACACGGACATACTGAGTGCAATTTCAAAATTCGGGAAAATAGATTTCAGATTTTCCAAACTGTTTTTGTTTTCTGCACCACAGTGCAGGCAGAGTCTCACAACTGTCATTTAAAGTCATATTCCCACTGAGGTACTCACAGTTGTTTAAAAAGTTATGCTAATTTTGGTGTTTACTTTAAAATGTCTTTATTATTAAGGACTTTATGATATATATTAACCAGATGTTCACATTATTTCTTTAGTTCATCAGTAGCAATAGTTTTTCATTATATGTATATGCCTCTGCACGTCTTGTCAGTTCAAAGTTTAGTGTTCAGAGTAGGGAGCAACGTTTCCACCTTGAACTTGTCGGTTTTACTGAAAAGTTCCTCGTCTGGAGTCTCTGCTGATCCATCACATATACCGTAACGCAGACATCCTAGTTGTTCCCGTTTTACCCCATATCCTAGTAACCTGTATCTGGACACATACTCATGGCTTTGAAATCACATGAATGAAATTGGTCCCCATTTTCTGTGAGATATGTTTTCAGACTTGAAAATCAGGTAATCATGTAAACGCAATACTAGTAATCCAGTTTCGTCCTTTTCAGGACGAAATTTTTTGTCATTTGAAGCCCTACTCTGGCTTTTGCCAGGGGCCGCAATATAGGCAGGCCATAAATATGGCCAAATGTCTGAACGCGGTTTCTGGGACCTCTCCACGGCGATTCTCATCCGCATGGTGGCACTTTGTGTCATCGGGTGTTTATCGCTTGTGTGATGTCCTGGTGGGGTAGAAATTCATTCATTCATTCATGTAAACGCAATTCATAGCAAACGGGTCACTCTATAGTTGTTCCACTTCCAGGACAACGAGAACAAATCAAAATGTCCATCACTGTCCTTTCTCCGTAGCGCACAGTGGGGCGCCATGCACTCAACTCAGAATGTAGATGGGTGACGAAACTAGATTCAAAGAAGATTTGTTGCAACAAGGATGTTCATATCTTAGGATTGGGGGACATTGCTTGTCTTATTCTTTTTTTTCGAGTTTGCCATTCCAAAGAATTTCAGTTTTCAGTTAGTTTAATATTCTTCTTTGGCTACCTGTAGTGTTTATGTCTGGCACTACCTCTTTTGACTTGTAATTCTGGTAGTTTTTTTCAATGTTGCCGACTCAACGTCGTCCCATGAATCATTTACTTATCCTACCTCTTTCAGAACATTTAATATATCAGTCCATTCCATTTCGTGTCCTGTACCTGTCGTGGTCTTGCCAGCAAGCCAATCCGCTAGTTCCTTTCCCCTTACTCCAGAATGCCTTGGCACAAACATTAGTCTGATTTCTTTCGGTGACTCTAAACATTGTCTTTGAACCCATCCTGTCTGGATCTTTTTGAGCATGCTCACTGAATCACTTATAAAGCACGCATTAGGAAAATGCTGTATCGGCCACATCATTGCTTTTCCCCCCTCATCACTTCCTAGGTCAAACTTATTGTAGTCGACACAATAGCAATCAAACTTTACCCCACTTTGTACGGATTTTTCATAATGAAGATAATGGTGTAATTTTTTTTCGATCAACTCAGTTTCTGAACAAATTCGAAAAAAAAAAAAAAAATTATCTCCATAATGGCGGCTCAACTGTAAATAGCCTCAAAGAAACACACAAATTTCATGTTTTTAGGAGCCAAGACAACAAATTAGCTCGCGTGCTCCTACATGCACCACGCTTTTATATTTTACAGCTGTTGCCTAGATGGTTTTTTAATGTATTGTTTAAAAAAAAAAACTTTTTTGGAACTCTGTTGTTTTTCACTCTGTTGTTGTAGTAAACTCCTCCATAATCAGCTATGGCTGTAAAGTCCCAAGTGATTGGTCCAAACTTCTCCTTTAGTGTTTCGAACTCTTGAAGCTTCCTTGT